TCTTAATATTTGAGGCAAGGAAGATAAAGCCTTTACTAGAGTTTAGGTTCTAAAGTCAACCAGCAAACTGAATCCATTTGAGAAGAAACCAATGGTACCAATTACTAGTTTATAACCCTGGTGTATAACTTCTGTGAGCCTCAATTTCCTCCCTTGTGAGGTGATAAAGAGAATATCTATGATTTAGGGGTATTGCAGAGATCTATGAAGTTCTGAATATAAAGACCAGTGGCATTAAAAATATCTCTAATTGGCCCAACACACCCACTTAACTCACCATTCACATTCTTGGATAAAAGAATTAAAACATTATTTAGGGCTTGAATTTAGTTTTGTGTTATCAAAATGCCCCCAATATGACAATTTTTATCACTATCAATGATTAAAAACTAAAAAAAAAAAAAAAAATTTTTTTTCTTTGAGATAAGCAGCATTTTTCTCCAACTATTAGTATTTTAACAAGAGGGGGAAAAAAGGGTAAGATGCAAAAATTTTTTGAAGTGACTTATTTGAAGTAACTAATTATTCATTCATTTAACTGTCTCTTGGGATAATCTGTAATCTACTCTGATAAGAAATGTGTAGAAAACAGACCTCAGGTTTTGCTGTTGTTCAATTATTAGGATACTCAATGTTTGAGCTCACACAAGTAACCCTTAGGGAAATGTTCTGCGTGCCATTAGCACTATTCTTACTGAGGAAAAGCACAGAACTCCTTTAGTTCAATGCCAGAATTGTTTTATCTTCAAGTCTAAAGAACAACTATTTGGAATAACACCAAAACAAGCATTTAACAATTACAAGCAGCAAGCTATTCATAATCATCATATTGTTAATGCTAATCTATAATTATAAACAGCCTTATTTTATCCAATAAAATATCGGTCAGCAAATTTTTAAGTCCCAGATACCTCTTTATTTGACTGCTGTATTTGACAACTTTGTTCCCTAGCTTCAATTCAAAGAACCTCATTTTAAAGATTCTTACAGAAAACTGAGATATACAGAACCCTTAATTTTTTTAAATCCATGCATAGGCAATCTTCAAAGAAAACTCATAAATCATAAACAAAAGCCTAAGAGACTGTGAGGTGTTTATAGTAATTCTTGATAATATAGTGAAGTGGGAAAATCTGAAGATCACTCCTATTTTATTAATGCTCTATCTTTACCAGAATGCAGTACTTCCTTCCTGATTTAAGAACCACTCTACAGACTCAACAATACATTGTTTACCTTATTCCTCCATTTCTCTTATGTTCAAAAGGCCAATGTACAGTTTCTAGGTTTCTTTTGGTATCCTTATTTACAAGCCTTTGACCTTTTTTAATCTCTTTCCTTATACTTTACTCATTGAGAATGAAGGACACATAATATACAGCTATTGGACCAAATACAATACATTAAGGAAGTCTCACTCATGGGTGGGGAAGCTGTGGGCTCAAGGCCTCATGTGGCCCTCCAGATCTCTGAGTGCAGCCCCTCAACTAAATCCAAACTTCAAAGAATAAATCCCTTTATTAAAATAATTTGTTCTGGCTCAGTGCCCGTAGCTCAGTGGTTAGGGCGCCAGCCACAGGCACTGGGGCAGGTGGGTTCGAACCCAGCACAGGCTTGCTAAAAAAACAAAAAAAACACAAAACCAAAACAAACAATGACAACAACAAAAATAGCTGGGCGTTGTGGTAGGTACCTATAGTACCAGCTACTTGGAAGGCTGAGGCAAGAGAACACCTTAAGCCCAAGAGTTTGAGGTTGCTGTCAGCTGTGACACCATGGCATTCTGTACTGAGGGTGACATAGTGAGACTGTCTCAAAAAAAAAAAAAAAAAAACTGGTTCTGTAAGATTTGGATTCCGACAAAAGGCCTCACTCTATCCAGAAGACTACATGTAGCCTTGAGGTCACAGGTTCCCCACCCTGCAGGAACTCAAAGTTATCAGAATTAGTAGAGCCTAACTGTGAACTAATAAGGAATTGAAAACTTTAAACATGAAAAATATGACACCACTTTTCACACAGGAAGCACTAACACTATGAGTAAATATACAAGTTGTAAGCTTTGATTTAAGTCAAAACCGAGAAATACTGTGGTTGGCTTTTACTACACTTACTATTTGCCACGCACTCTTTCAAGACAGGCTTCCTGTACGATATGACAGAAAAAATGATAAAGATTATGGGTTATCTGAGCTCTCGCCACTTAGAAGAAACTATAGAATGGAACTTCCCTTTACCTGTTTATCGTAAGACATTGAGAACATACTGACTCAGTTCATGAACTTTCTGGAAAGTGTGCTCTAACTTGCTCTCCCATCACCAATTCTACCACTCAGTAGCCTTCCAGACTGTATATGCACACCTAATTTATATATGGCAGAACTTGAAATATTTTCCTGTGATGAATTTATCTTCAGGATGGTCACAGCCACTATTCTGCTACAGAGGTGGAAGCCACAGCAGTACTTCCCTGAATTTTCTCATGACAATACTCATGTTTGTGTATAAACAGCTGATAAATACCATTACTCCAGACACGCACCCCTGAGAAAGCCTGCAACACCCCTGCAGCCTGGAAATGCCACCTTTGGATTCCAACTAACCCTGAGAAGTGACAAGTTCCAGGGCTCCTCCTCCCCATTCCACCTCCACTAGGAGAAGAATATAAAAATTTTAGGAGAAAAAACAAGACAAGGCAGAAGTTGCCAGTAGCATTATCTGACCTGCCAATCAATGAGCAATGACAGAGTACCCAAGAGGAACTTCACCAAATGGGTTTTAAAGAGAAATTACTCATATTAATGGCATGGCTCTTTCAACTATACATGGCTCATATTTACAACACAGCATGACTAAGAAAAGAGCACTACTGATGTGCTCTCCTGATACAAAGAACTGCTCTAGAAAAAGGAACTAAGAACTCATCAGTCAAAACGTTTCACCCACAACTCAGAGGTTAGGGTGCCGGCCACATACACTGAGATAGGCAGGTTTAAACCCAGCCCAGGGCCTGCTAAACAACAATGACAACTGCAACAACAACAACAACAA